TTTTTAGCAAATAATTAATTCGACTACTATGTTTTCGAATGCAAGTTCAGTTAAAGTCACCTTATATCAGACACATTGTATTCTTTTTCCAATATTAAACATTCGACTTGATTTACTATAATTATAAAACTATTACAATCGATTCATGAATACAGCGACTAGCTTTACTCGAACTTTCATCTATCTTGTCTTATTTGTAATTATTTGTTCTTATGAAACTAAGTATAAGAAAATGAAGTCTATTTTCAATAATCTCTGTAAGTAAAAATCATACCTGAAATGTTATTGAAACAACGTGTGCTGATCATTTTAATAATTAATATTTAACCAATAGATAAGTTACATCTAGTCACCTTCCTGAATTTCTCAGCCATGTATGTATTATATTTGACAAATAATTTTTCTTATAACAGAACGAATAGTTAGAAAAGTGCATGGCCGATATATTTATTCTAGAGCCCTGCGGTTCCAAAAAAAATGGAACCGAGAACCAAACCGAGAACAGGATTTTTCTGTTTCCCTTATCCGAAACCGGAGCCGGAACCGAAACCATGAAATAAAAGAGGATGGAACCGGAACCGTTAGGAACCGATATTTTTCTTGAGGGTGAGAGTTTCAAGATGTGTAGATGTTGCAAGATGCACATTATATCAGCACGTTTCTTCATTTATCCATGAAAAATTTTCGTAGTAATCCTGGTTTTCAAGAAAAAAGCTCTTAAGTTAGTTAAAACGGAAATTAATAAACAGCAACCAACAATACTATTCACTACATGTACAACTACTACTCCACCACCTGTTCGTACAAATTCACTTGACTCTCAATAGACAACACCAAAAGGTCCTCTTTCATACTGTTTTGATATACCACAAAATTCCTTAACATTGTCAACAACACCGTACGAATTAGATAAATATATGTCATCAAATGTTCCATTCATTGGACATGATGATGTTTTATAATTCCGCGACAACAGAATTTAAAATTACCGATCTTATTTTCTATAGCTCAAGATTTTTATCCTGTACAAACATCGAACACCATTGTAGAAGGACTTATCTCGTCTGCAAAAAATACAAGTATCGATAAACGCATCGATCTTGGTACAGAAAAAAAAATACTCTATTGTTATTTTTTTCAGGAAAATTTAACATTATTAAAATCATGTGATGTAAAAAATTGATGAAGTTGATACAACTGAAACGAAAAGAAAGATGGTTGAACAGTCATCTTCTACAATGTCCTGCCTAAACTAAATAATAATCTATTACTACAACAACAAAAAGACGTTTAGAATGAGTAACGAAGATGATATTGTTCTTTGTGATCATGACCATGGAGAGGATAAGGAAATGATGAAGTAGCTCTTTTTTAGAACTTGTAATATAAATATTTCATATGAACATATTGGATGTTAGTGTTTCAACTCATTCTTTGACTTTTTCTTTTACCTTTTGAAGCAGCTACTTATTTGATGAAGTAATAAACACAAAGAGTCCCGAAGATAAAATGTAGAAATGTCTAAAAAAACCCAATTACTCGGTATTTTGTATGTTACGGTAAAATCATCGGTTCCTAGAAAAAATTTTAGAAACCGAAAAAGGAACCGCTTTTTTTCAATTTTGCTAACCGGGACCGCAGGGCTCTATACTTCTGCCATGATGATGTGCTAGTTTGGTTGAACGTACACTATAGATAACGATCTCATCCACAATTTTGTTTTGATATCCATGTATAATGGAGATATGGATGTAATGGTGTCGTTATTGTTTCGAGTATGGGTAAGTTGTCGAAGAGAAAGAACTGAATATATAAGAAGAATTCCGATTCTCCGACTCCGATTATCTTTGGTCCAACTTTAGGAACAATCATTTTTTTCGTAAAAAAGCCTTTCTCTGATCAGAAAAACTCAATCTCAAAGTTACCAAAAGCCGATTACAGATTTGGATTCTCGAATTCCTATTACTTTTGGTCAAACTTCATAAAAAATATCCCTATCTTCTTAATATGGGTGCATATGACTCAACACGTGCTTGCGAACATGCAAACTCATTGTATTTCATATGACGCTCTCTTCAATCAAGAGAATAAGTCAATTGATTGATTTCTTTTTTTTTTCATTCAAAAAGACGTTCGCATTGAAAATATTAAAGAAATTGAAATGAATATGAAATAATCAATTTTTCTCTATTCAAAAAAAGTTTTAAATTATCTATCTTAAAATAAACGAAGCTAAATATGTGCATTTTTGTTTTTTCGATCGGGTAGAACATAGATTTTTTTTAAATAAAATACGAATTCTTATGACTGCAAAGGAAATAGCATATAGTGAAAAAGCATTTGTTTAGTTTGTGCGTAGATGATGTTATTTTCAGGCGATGCAACAAAGCGTTCAGCGAAAGTCCAGAAAATTCGTCATCATTATTCTCATACGATGAAAAGAAAACGACGATCAAGCAATATTGTTCATATGACCATTCGACTTTCAAACAATCAAATATTGACAAAGAAAAATTCAGGCAATCGTCATGATAATTTATCTTCCGTTAGTCATTTTTGTTTCTATTACAACACAGATTCAGTTCGTTATATCCGAATTTGAATCTCTGAAAAATTTCATCAATGATCTCATTCAATTTCTTTCTCATTGCAGTCAAATAGATATTTTAGTCGTTCGACTTCGAACTTTCTACAAAAGAACGATTCTTTCAAAACCAATACTAACGATAGTCAATCTGTACAGAGCAACATTTTAAAAACTGGATTACGTACATCATCATTATCCAGAGTAACTTCTCTTAAAGTACTAGTAAATTCCGTATGAGACAAAATCAATACAATATATTTTTATCTTTCTAGGAAATTAATTGCGACAATCACTTTCGTATTCAAGTAAGATAAGCACTTCGTTATTGGTTTTACAATATTTCGTTCTTTAAATGAGAGTAGTACATGGAGACCGAGTCAGATCAACGAGGTACTACAGAAAATTATCACAAAGATCCAAAGAAAAAAAAAGAAATATAGCAGGCAAGTATTTTTTCTTGTCTTTTATGTGTTTCATGATGATTATATATTGAAGATGGGAAGCAGTGTGGTTGATCTTTGGTTGTGTATTACCTTATTTGATGCTTGCCATTGCTACTGCCATAGCAGTTCTTATTCTTCGCATCCAATCAACAACCTAAACGACACAAGGTAAATAACAGCATATTATTTGTTTATTTACATAATTGTTTATATAATTCCAAATCTTTTCATAGATGAATTGATTTTTCTCTCAGTTAGAAATGTTTCACCATATGATGTTGCGATGCAAAAATTGATACTTGTATTATTATCTAATAGAAAACGTCATCTTTTACTGAAATAAGTTTAGATGAAACATGCATTTAGCCTTGACGACTAAATTAATTTGAGAAGATTTGAAACTACGATGTTGAGAATTCTTTACTTATTCCTATAGTTTTCACAGTATGAAGAAAACTTATGTAGTTGTATGATCACTTGCATGAATGAAGCTAACATAAATTTTCAGCTAGAATTTAATGTACAAGCGAAGACATTTGGATTTCGTCTAAGAATTTGATTGAAAATCCTATTTTTCAAATAACTTGCTGAAAGTGGAACTGGTGGAAGTAGTTTATCCACTCCATATGATATCAAATTAGATTCACAAAATAATTTATATGTTGTTGAAAATGGTGCTCATCGTGTTACGAAATTTGCTAAACTATAAGAAATATCAACCGATGTAACTCTTCTCCATTCAACAACGTTTTAACAATCATTCTATCTTCTCTTTTTACTCAGTTATAAAGCCACCACATTATTTAATGTCCTGAGGGTGGGTGTGTGGGCGTGGGCGTTGGTGTGAGTGCGGATGGGTGGGGTGTGAGTGTGGATGTGGATCTGTGTGAGCGATGTGGATCTGTGTGAGCGATGTGGATCTTCATCGTATTAATTCACACCAACATCTAAACACCCATACATTAATGCAGACGCTAACGTTGTAATAGAAAACAATGCACAAAATTATAATTTATTCCAAGAACAAGGAAATTATTAGGATACAAAGACTCCAGTAACAAATCTTCAATTCAATAGCTCCATAGGCAGCGCTATTTGAAGAAGGCGTGTAACACACAGATAAAAATTTATCAAGAAAGAATTTTTTCTGTGAAAAATTATGAGGGCACAAGCTGATTTATAGACTCTCTTCTCTTAAATTTCTTCAGCAAACAAAGTGTGATTATTAAAGTCTTATTTGAAAAATCTAATATCTGGCAAAAACTGTCTTTCTATAATAGAATTTGTATCAAATTATAGAACGTAGCGTGTATTCTAAAAAGTAACTATTTTAGAACACAGAATAATGGGATTTCAACTAATTAAGATTGATCAGAACTGCCAGGTGGCCATAAACTCAGGCTGAATTTTGAAATTTTCGTTGGTCTGATCCATCCATATAATATTCGGCCTGGATAACACATCAAGCATACCAAAATTGTTGGCTTTGTGTCATAAAATATTAATTTCTCTGGTAGTAAAAGCATAAAATGACGTCTCAGCCTGATGATTTGTGTACCAATTTTCGTCAATCATGATCTTAATTCAGGAAATATTTTTATAATGAATAATGACAATCAACATCCAATTAGATTTATTGATTCTGCAATTATGAAATTTATTCGTAAACCAACAGAATTAAATATAATGTATTCAGAAAATTTATATCAATCTCTTCGAAGTATTTCTATTAATTGTCCTTCGTGTTAATCTATTCAAGTTCCAATATTTGCTCAACAATTTCGACATCAATCATAACTTAATCTATTGATCAAATTATTAATCATCCTTGGTTTTATACCAATTGATTTATTTTTATTAAAAATTCTCATTTCATTTTTTAATAGACACAGTTTTCTTTATAGAGATAGAATTAGGGGATATTTTAGTTTAATAAAAGGTATATTGCACTCAACATGAAGAAGTAGAGATTATGGTCGTGCTTGTCCACAATTTTTTGCTGAACAACATGAACTTACACCAGGATTTTGTCTGACAACACAAGCCATTACATCTAAATTGCATTGTCGACAATTTCCCCCTAAAACACCAACAAATGAAACTGTAATGAATGAAATTTCACTTACACAAATAAAACCAACTGATAGCACTGCAGCCATGTCGTTTATAACAAGTATCGTGAGTGTCACAACACTTGCCTTTATTTCCACAACTTTTAACAACAGCATCACATCCATAATTGTCTCGTATTAAATCAATTGGATCAATTTCATCTTGATTTTCTCGTCGAAAAGTAACTGAACAATGAATAATAGCGATGAATACGCTAAGAAGAATAAATGTCAATCGAACACAATTCATTATTATTGTTTAATATATCCTCTAGAAAATGACAACTTTTATTCAAAAATATTTTTATTAACCCTTGAAGAGCGAAGCCCGTATATGTACGGTTTGAAAATTCCTGTAGAAATGAAAATCTCTGGTTTTGTTCAAGTAGATTCTTTGAGTGTTTTATTCATTTTCCTATCTCAAAATCCTCTATTTGTGTCTTTGCAACAAGAATCAGTATAACAATTATGATAGTTAATACGTTTCAAGTTAGAATTGCTTCTGACACTACGATTTTATTCTTTTTATAAAGAAAAAGTCCGCCTTCAAAGGGTTAATTCAACTTACTTTATTCAATAAAATTGATTCTATTATGAAGTGCAAATGATCAAAGTGTCAATGCACCTTATCTTTTATAAGAATAAAAACTATCGAATAAACAGATGTTCTTGCTTCTCACAATATTTCATGTTGATATTTTATTTTGCTTTTAATCAACAAAGCAAAAACACACCCACGGATTTGTTGTCTCTATGTATGTCAATATTATTCGTTCGTTCTTGAAATTATTTCATATTGCATAGACCTCATAAAAAAATATTTCATTATTTTTATCATTGAAGTCTTCTAAAAACTAATTTCACCATTGATGTAACAGCAAGGTCTTTTTTTTTAATATAATAAATGCTTCATAAGGAGAAAAATCTCGTAAAAATTAAAGTAACATAAATATGAGAAAGATGATTAAGGGGCTTACTCCCTCCCCCTCGACCGCTATTTTTTTCAACCATTTTGTAGAGAATTTAAAACTGCATATACCCTCAAATTTTTACTGAAGACGAACGGACTTTGATGGAGCTGGGATCCTCACAAGCCATATAGTCTTTATAGACCCCCCCTAGGGTATGCATTTTTGAAAAATTTTCAAACTCAATATTTTGACTTAATTTTTATATGGTTTTATAGAGCATTCAAAGTTGTATATGCTCTAAAATTTTCATAAAGATTGGATGAGTATTCTTTGAGAATTACTGATTTTTCTATTAAGTGCATTTTTTCCTGTCCAATAGTATTTTTTTTTAAACCTTGCTCGCGATATCAAGCCTATAGTACATTGCAAGAAAAATCCGTTTCGGCAGAAAGATGCGCCATCAAATTCTGGGTGTAGTATGTGAGACAGATTTTTCTTTCGCAAACACATCGAAAGAAACGCATCCTCAGTGAAATGTGTGTGAAAATGAAAACGCATAGTTTTAACCTAACGTTTTTTATGGCGTATTTTGCGTTTTCAGAAAAAGTAAATAATTATGTGTTACATATCGTTTGACAGAAAATTTCATAAGCAATAAAATCATATATAAACTTACGAGAAAATACTATGGCATGATGACGTTGAACAGACGTATATTTACTTGTACTAAGATGTACTGTAATAGATTATTAAATATTTTTACAAAAAACTTTTCAAAAACTCTATTTTTAGTTTTACAGTTTTATAAATAGCTTTCGGGAGAAGCTAATATTTTTTATGATTTTTCAATAATCAAATTTCGAAATATGAGAAAAAATTCAAAACCGTTGGATGCATGGAAATAAATATACTTAGGGTATACCAAAAGTTCGAATTACAATGTTTAAAATATAATAAAACAGTAAATATTGAACGTTGTATTATGGAAATATATAGTGTAACGTCTCATCTTTAATAATCTGTAGAGCAGCTCTATTTTGGATTTAATTCTAACATCTTGCTAGATAAAATTTATAGTACTTATGGCCAAGAAAAGATCCTGACAACATAAAACCAGAATACGAAAAGAAAGAGATATTCGTAGTTTTATTTTATTAAATGTTCAAAATAATCACCATTATTTTCTATACAAAGTTTCATCCTTTCTAACAGTTTATCGAAAGTCTTTTTAAACTCGCTTATTAGAATATTCTTCACTATGGTAGAAATCTTCTGAGCCAGCGATTCTTCGTTTGTATGATCAGCTAAATTCATCTTGATATAATCATTTAGCCAAAAGTCACACGATGCAAGATCTGGTGAATGTGATGGATGTGGGATTATTTCGATATCTTCCTCTGTTAAATAATTAACAACATCTCGATGAGTATGAGGACGGCCATTATCATGAAGCAGTTTATATTTTCTGCGTGATGATTTTCCTTTTTTTCTTATTTCATTGATAACTGGTATGAGACAATTTTCAATATAGTAGTTGTGATCAATAGTCTTGGCTTTATCTACTTTATGTATAAGAACAGGACCAGTGGTTTTAAAGAATGAGCAAAACAGTGTTCTAGGTTCAGATCTATTCCGACGAACAACGGTCCTTAGTATTTCATTTTCACCAACTCAGGTAGAATTGCTTGACCTCTGACCAATCTGTCTGTGATAAATCCATGTCTCATCATCAGTAATAATATCACATAACCGCCATGTTCCGTTTCTGAATTTCTCTAAATTTTGACGACAAATTCTAAATCGTTCTTGTTTATGTTCGTCAGTGAGTTGATGAGCAACCTAACGTGATGTAACTTTTCTCATTTTTAGACAATCATGAATAATTCGTTCTATTGTACCACGAGATAGACCAGTCTCAACCGTAACATCATCATAAGTTGAGTTTGGGTCATCTTCGATAACTTGTCGAACACGCTCAATATTTTCATCTGTAAGTACCAAAATCGAACGACCATATCGAGGATCATCACTGACATCCTCTCTTCCTTCACGAAAACGTTTCGCCCATTTTCAGACCATTGAATATGATGGAGCATCAGGACCCAATGCTTCTGTAAGTTCGTCGAAGATTGTTTTTGAATCTATTCCCAAAATAGTTCGAATTCTGATATAGTATCGATTAAATTCATCAGTCACGTTTAATAGATCGTTTTAAAGTTGAAATCAGATTCTATCACGATTTGAGGTCGGGAGCGGTACAAATGAGCTGACAGTGAATGACCTCTTATCTATATATAGTATCGAAATGTAATATTCTAGAACATGACGTCATAAAATGTGATGAGAAAGTGACCAATGGAAAGTTCCACAATATACTTGGACATTGGACAAGGATTAGTTAAATATTAGCATAGACGCTAAATTATAGACTTAATCTAGCAGGATGTTAGAAGTAAATCCAAGATAGAGCTGCTCTATAGATTATTAAAGATGAGACGTTATACTATATACTCCCATAATAAAACATTCAATATTTACTGTTTTATAAAATTTTAAACATCGTGATTCGAACTTTTGGTACACCCTAAGTATTTGATAATAAATACTTTCGGTTTCTTTAAGAATTATTTCTATCGAGATCATTCAAAAAGCTTCACTGTAGTAGACTTCTTGTTTGGTTTTAAAGAAGGAACAAGCAGAAAACCAAATAACACTTATGATTTAAAAATGAAAATACTCTTCGACATGAGAACTAAATCTTCTCAATCTTCGTTTTCTTATATATTCGGAACCAAAATGATCAATATGTTGTTGCCATCCCTGATAAATTTTTTTATCATTCACTACAGATTTCGAAAGCTTTGAGAAACCAATCAATAATTCAATAAGAGAGCATACATTTTTCTACTATTTCAAATAAAAACGGAATAGAATATTAAAAAAGAACGATTAATATATAAATCTATCCTAAGACAGATTAGAGATAAAAACTAATCATATTTTTGTATTTTTTTTGTTTCTCAAGGACAATCATGACAATTTATTCCGGAGCTGTGATATCCCCATCACCCACGCTTTTTTTTCACAATTATTACATCGATCCATCGATTAAATTTCCATCCACAAGATTTTAATATACCAACATGAGTAAAGCCAGCAATACGATGTGAACTAATTGATATTTCATTGACTGAATCACTAATAGATGCAATCATTTTTCAAACACCAACTAATTCAGCTTCGGACAGCAGAGCATTCAACAATAGACGACCATAATGTTTGCCACACATGTCTTTATCAAAAAAGATCATTGACTCCATAGAGAAACGATAAGCAGCTCGTGGTTTATACCAAGTACAGTAAGCATAACGAATGATCGAATCTGCTTCTTCTGCTAAAAGATAAGGCATATTATTCTTAAGAACATCCTCACATCGACTAGCCATGTGATCTATGGTAGGTGATGTAATTTCGAATGTACATGTACTATTCAATACATAGTAACTGTAGATTGCAGTAACGGCTGCAATATCAACTTCGCGGCTAGGACGAATGGTTAACATAACAGTTTTGAATAGTAGATGACAATCTTATGTGGTTGATAAACAGAGTCTGAAGATTTTCAGTATTCTTTTGCTTTAGTCGTTTCTATTTACATATAAAACACAACACTATTTTATCTTTCCACACGTGCAAACTATTGTGAAACCAAAGCACACCATCCACATCTACACTTCAATTCACCCTCTTAAGACGTTGATGATGTTCGATTTAGAAAATTTCGTATGACAATTATGTCATCTAAATTATATCGGGTAATTCGACAGATCAATATAGATTAGAGTTGCATTGTATCAGAAAAAGATAAGAGTGACATTTTCTTTCTACATACTTTTCTTGCTATCTCACTGGTACTTGTAATCGACAAAAGGCAACGCAATTCTTCTGAAATGTGCTTTAATTGGAATTGATTTTGCTGAATGAACAATAAAAGGTCGAAAATTTTCTAACAATAGAAGCTGGATGCTTTAATAAACTATTGTTACCAAGTTTACATTTGTCAGTTGCATATATTGACACCAAATCATTAATTGTGTACTAACAAAAAGAACAACTTTTTTCTCCAAAGTAGATATTGATATACCACTACAACCTATAAAACAAGACTGAAAAAAATTACAAATTTACCTATCATTCGCCATTAATGATGAAATCTATTTTCAGTTCCTCGCATATAATATAATCTGCTGAATATTAGCATTGTTTCCGTGCATGCTATTACATTTGAGATATTAATTGATGGGCACATTCGTTCTAGTTATGCTCTGCCATTGTTCATACGTAAGTGTTAATAAATGAGCATACATATAATCGACTAGATTTAACTTTCTGTACTGATGCATTTTCTTTTACTTTTTACGCTACATTAATCGAGTTCAAACCAACTTGTGTTGTCTAGATGTAACTGTTTTCGATTTCGAGAATAAGAATCACGAATTCCAAGTAAACAGGAAATGTAGTGATTCTTTCAACTGTGCAAAACAAAACGATAGAATTGGAAAAAGTTAGATACGAACTACATTTTCTAGACAATCCTAGATTTATTGAGAGAAATATATTGGACAGGATGACACCACATATGTTAATATTCTACGAAGAACTCATAAAAAAATCAAAACTTTGATTGGTAGGCTCATAAATACAAACAATGATCTCTTTCACTATACAATTCTGTGCAAGAATTTTTCTTTCTTTTTTTATATCGTAAAAATATAAGTTCCGAGTACACAAGCTTTATAAATGGTTCTATCATATACTTGATCTAGTATTTAGCATTAACGATTAAATCATACTCAATAAAATACAACCGACTTGTATGAGACTTTATCAATCTGACCATGTTATGTCAGGAGAGACATCTCTGCTGACATTAGAATATTCTGTCATCTTCTATGGCGCAATTATATAGTTTTTATGGAAAGTATTTATCTGTAATGCAATGACTTGTATCAAGATAGGACCATACTTTGTCAATAATTACCATCTTTTGTAATCATTAATTGCATAATCAATGATGAATAAACCCAAATCCTAAATCATCGCTATTAAATGGCAGTTAGATACAATCGATATTTTGCTTAAATACCATCATCAATAGTCAAGATAGAATAGTAGGGAGTTAAAGATCTCCCTGAAAGAAAATAAATAAAATGTAGTAAAATAGAGAGTGTAATGACATAATGTATTTTTTCATTTATTAGAAATGTAGAAAAACACATCTATTATAGAAATTTATGAATTTTCGATATTATTTCAAACTCATCTTCAGATGAACTACTAAATGTAATATTACATGTTGGAGTTATTATGAGTACATTCGAATTATAAACAACATCTAAAATAGGTTTATATTGGATATGTTAATAGATATAGTTATGATGTCAAAAATATGGTAAAGATATTAACTGATAGTGGTAATAGTCATGCAAGTGATCTCAATTAATGTTGGCATTAGATTTAGTAGTTCATCTGATGATGACTTTGAAAGAAAGTCGAAAATTCATGAATTTCTATAATAGATATATTTTTCTTCATTTCTAATAAATGAAAAAATACATAATGTCGTTACACTCTCTATTTTACTGCATATTATATATTTTTTCTTTCAAATTAAAACTGTATTGCTCAATTAAATTTATTTGATAAAAATCTTCCTATTGAAGTCTTCTTGCTTTATGTCTGCTCTTTCTACTTCGATTAATTTTGCAAATAAATTTATTTCTTTTTCTTTTCTCTTTGCTTTTCTTGCATTGAGTTTTGTCCAAAGAATTTTCACTTGGGTGCAGAGGTACCTTCTCAAGATCTCGACGGATATGTGCGTAATTGACCACGCTGATTACGGATGCGCTATTTTTTTCTTCCAGGAACTCTGCCTTAAAAATCCCTCCACAGTGATATGACTATTGTAATATTTTTCTTTGCTGAAATATTGTGAGAAATGAGAGAAGTTTTCAAGAGTAATGTAAAAAAGTGCGTAAGATGACGAGTGATAGCATATTTCTATATCATCCACAATAATAACGACAATGATGCAATATTAAGATGTGCTTCATTTACATATTAGCAAAGAACAGAAAAACAAAATCGTTTGCACTATCACTGTTGTCGAACTGAATAAATTAATATTTGTTGATGTAGTTAAATCAAACAAACCGTGATTTCGTCTCTTATTTCGTTTGAATATGAAGTTCACTTAAATACGAAAGCGGTCGACTTTCGAGAAGGTCACTTCTAGATACAAAATAAACTCGATACTGATTCATTTTGTTTTAATAAGGACTGTTTGTTACACATGATGAAAGTTTTCATTCGTCTCTTTGACAGTACAAAAATGTGTCCCTTTTTTTTCATTCCTTGCCTATCAAATGTATCATTTCATGAATTGCACTCATATCCACAACCCAAATCCTGGCTGAAATAAAAATTTGATTGCATTAAGTGAGTAACGTTTTATCCATTAATGTCACAACTTTTGTTATAAAATAAATACAATTTTTACCATACTGTTGCAGAAACTAATTCGTTAATCTAACCATAGTGATATTTTGATCACTGAGTAATTCTGTTGTTTGTCAATCAACGATTCGAAACCCAACTATGGTTTCGTCTTTCCTATAAGACGATAATACATTCAAATAGTGTGCGATTCTCTTTTTTTTTTTCGTTCTTGCATTTGCGATCGAATTATAATGCTGCAAGCTTTTTCTGCATTGTTACAAGAAAAAAGAACCAACAGAACACATCAAGTTGAAGTCGATCAAAGATTTTTCTTTGTAAAAACAGAATCATCAACTATATTAAAAAAATAACAATTGTCAATAGGTTTTTTTTCTCCATCTCACTCTATTATTTCTATTCTCAACTTGCCAACGACCAAGAAGACATTGATTGAAGTAAGATGGCTTTATTTGATATTTCCTTGAATAATTTTATTGTTAATCTCTTTAGAAAAAATGACAACAGTAATCAAATCGAATCAATGTTCGATATGTCAAAACAGTGTAGCCGAATGCATGTGTCCAGAATACCAAAATTTATTTTGCGACAACCATTTTAACGCGCATTTTCAACAATTGTCGAAGCAAGTCACTCATGAAATAATCGGAACTCATCATCTACTTTTCGGCGAAGCCGACACGACCAAACAATCGAATGATTCTCACGTGAATCTTGCCTGTCAAATTGATGAACAAGAGACGAAAACGGTCAAGAAAGTTCAAGAGACAACTGGACGAGTTCGCCATCAGGTCAATGAATTGCTCAATCAAGAAAAAGAAATTTCTGCAGAAAATTTGACCACTAACATTCATAATTGTGGACAGATGGATGATTTAACTTCAGACGATGTTGAACGAACTCGACCGGACATCAATCACTTGCCACTTTTGCTGGGAAAAGTCAATCAATTCAATAAATCTGAAGTGATTGCCATCAAGAACAATGAAATTGATCGTCATCATCTAAAATATAATAAGGACCAGTTACAAAGGGGTGAGTGAATCAAAGATCGTCAGATGTTGCGCTTTCGGACGTGCTCTTCTATCGACTATTTGACACGAAAGTTCACGTTGACGTTCTTGTTGCATTGAGTAAAAGTGAGCACAGGACGAAACGTGCTTTGATCGAAAATTGAAGGAAAAAACAATAAATTGTTTCATTGTTCTCTACCTATTCAATAAGGAATTTCAAATCCATTCAATTTTGTTATATGAAAACAGCAATTTTGAGATTCAATTATTTTTTCACTCAGATTTAAGTCGACGATTACCATGTTAGTTTATTTCTGTTCTGGTCAAAAATACACCGATCTTTTTCTCTTCTTTTGGCGTTTGTACATTAGAAAACCTCGTTTCTTTTTTTTTTCAATTATTGACAATTCAATAAATGATGCGATTACATTGCAATAATTTATTGTCTATACTGCTCGTCATGTGATCCATTTTGAGCGAGATTTCGACTATTTGTCACACAAAATTTGCATCCAATGGTTGTAATGAGACAAGGAAATTCATCTTTATCTGGCAATTTAGTGCAAGAAAAGATCGATCGAGATTGAAAATAATAATGTCCGACGAATAGCAAAGTCCTTTTGTAGTTCGAGATTTTTGTCTGATCGCGTGAAAATATTCAAAAACTATCTTTTTGAAAATGAAAGTTTGATGAGGTTCAAGTTGATGAGAAATGTTTATGTTCATTAGAACAAATCTTTGGTCGTCAACGATCACCACAGAATAATTATGTTTCGTATCTAGATGATTGATGATCTTTGTCTGCTCTGACTTCGATAAGGAAATTTCTCATTTCAAGATGCTTTCGCTTTCACTAATCAGGATGAAAGAGAAACGTCTCGTTCTCACCATCATCCTCAAAATGATCGTTGTCGATAATCAGATCTAACCAATCGTTCTCAACAAAATATTTTCCCAGCTCGCTCAACATGGATCATGGACAGTGGCAAGCATCACTTTCGAACTCCTCGATACCTTTTTTGTAAGAATTAATTTTTCTCAAAAGACCCGTAGCCGAAGTGTTAAATTCTTCTTATCGCTCTGTCGAACGATCCTTCTACTTCTCCTAATCGAACCTTTCTTTCATTGCAGTAATTCTAAGCGTTTCTCCTGATGACATATCTTTTCGCAACACTTACACCGTCGCTGGAGGTCACGGTCAAGGCAATGAACTCCATCAACTCTCCTATCCGTATGGTCTCTATGTAGAAGATGATCGAACTATTTTGATCGCTGATGGAATGAATCATCGTATTGTAGAATGGAGATGTGATGCAACGACTGGTCAGGTAGTGGCCGGTGGAAATAGACAAGGAAATCGAATGGATCAGTTGAATACACCATCAGATGTGATTGTTGACAAAAAAACAGACAGTGTCATTATTTGCGACTCTGGAAATCGACGAATAATGCAATGGCCTCGTCGAAATGGCACAAGTGGAAACGTGATACTTTCAAATATCGATTGTCGAGGATTGGCAATGGACGATCAAAGATTTCTCTACATCTCGGACTATAAAAAGCATGTGGTGAAACGATATCAAATGGGCAAGACGAAGGGAACAGTAGTGGCGGGTAGCCAACGACAAGGTAATCGTTACAATCAACTCAATGGCCCATCCTTTATTTTTGTCGATCGCGATCATTCTGTCTACGTGTCAGACAGTTGGAATCAGCGCGTTATGAAATGGACCAGAGGTGCGAAAGAAGGAATTCTCGTAGCTAGTTTCGGAAACGAGAAGAAGGGTCAAGCACAACTCTTGTGTCCTCAAGGAATAGCCGTCAACGAATGTGGCACAATCTATGTGACCGACTGTGCAAATCATCGAGTAATGTGTTGGTCTGATAGAACCGAACAAGGAATTGTCATAGCTGATGGAAACAATAAAGAAGAACAGGCGAATCAATTGAGATATCCTAGGGGTTTATCATTCGATCAATATGGTAATTTCTACGTAGTTGACCAGTGGAATCATCGAGTTCAACAATTTTCAAGATGAGAGACAAGTTGATATTGTTGAAAATCGAAGTATTATTGTTTGTCTCCAAGGGTGTGAGTGAGGATGAAGAGAAGATTGATACTCCTCCATCCACATTCACACCCATTTTGAATTCAATAAAACCATATATTTGAATAAATTTTGATATTGACGAAAAAAAATTGAATTTTATTATATGAATACATGCAGTTACAAAATATAATACAACACAATATTGTTCACAACAGCGACAATCTATATAGTGCTATTCTTTTGTACAAATATAAAAGACTCAAATCATATGTATTCAACTGGATGTCGAGGTCGTGCAGCTACAATGGATGTAGCTGTTTGAGTTACAGTGTCCTTGAATATAGATGCTGTGAATTGACCAAGGATTTTTCGAACACATAATTTTATTCTCTGCATAAATATGGAACGGAATAGGTGACTTGATAATGTATAAATATAAAATGATTTCTCAAAGTTAGCATAATAAAGAAGAATGGTAAACGACGTTGAAAATGTATTTACTAAACCTTCATATCCAGTAACTCTTGGTTTCAAAGTGTAATAAGCATAAGAAATCATACGAGTCATTATTAATAAGGAACTTATTCCTACTTGAACAATCATCATCTGTATAAAGAAAAGTATTTTCGATATATACCATATAGTTTAAGATAAAAACAGGAGATAACCTGATTTTGTTTTGAATCCAGTGATAAAAACATATGAATTAGATTTTTTCAGAAATATATCTCACGAAGGAACATCCTCAAGTATCAAACCGCTTTTTGATCGAGTACATGGTCGAGAGAAAACTTGAGAGAAAAAAATAGGTCAATCAATCTCTTACTTTATCTCTAGCAGTTTACGGAGTCTGCTGAATATCTCTACTTTTTCTGTAACAGGCTAGAAATACACGAATTGTGCTTGCCTCTAGTAGGACATATGGCCTATTTGCTAGAATCAAAGTGTTTCAATACACTTGTAAAACGGAAAATCAATAACATTTTATGATCGTTAGTGGCTTAAAGTATTTGTGAGCAAAGCAGAATATGCATGGTTCAAACCCTATGAAAAAATCGTCGTTTCTTCATCTTCGATGTTATTCTATTCCAATAGTCACTCCTGAAAAATCATAACATTTGACGCTAACGATATTGTTCAAAAACTAAAAAAAATGAATAAACACATGATAATTTACATCTCTCTCCGATATTGATACTGTCACAGAATGGTAAATTAATATTCATGGTAAGGCAGATCGGCGAATTGGAAGACTATTAGGATTGATTTAGGTTTCACGCCTAGGACGTTAGTACTACGAAATATATCAGGAATGACCAATGAAAGAATGTCACGGATGAAATTAATGATAATCAGAAGCTTTACAAATAGATAAGCAATATTTAATAAATGGATTTTAACCAATGTTGAATCAATTAGGCTGACTGTCACACTAGTGTCAAAGTTGAATGTTAAATTCATGCTTCAAGTTTGAATCTTGAGTATAGATTCACGTATAGTTTTAATCTGTCGTCAAGTTTTGCCAATCGCTCAAAAGGAAATGACATATGTCGTGCTTTCTTTTTCTCGTCATGGTACAAGAAAAAAAACCTGTTCCTAAAATAGGTTATGACATCTTGACAGATGGCGAACAAACAATTAACAATCTTAAATTTGAAGATTACAATTTTCAAGCTTCTTTCAATTGAAGTTGATTACATAACTCTTTTTATAGTCAAAAATGTCAGAAAAATCCCATCATGAGGTGCTTAGGGACGATCGTCACTACTTAAAACAAGTTACACACTCTATTAGAAAAATCTTCCGAGTAGAAAACTTTTCATTTCTATCCTAAAGGTTAAATAACTGAAGACAGGTTCTTTTTAATTAAAATGTCAGAGTAAATGCGGGACTTTTTCTTGATTTTCTGTTATTGTTATATAAAAACAATTAGAACAATCAAAAATATCACATTTTTCTAATTATTATTATAGATCTCATCCTCTAAATGTGCAAACCGTCTTCATTTAATAATGAAACTCTTCTTACAGGCTTACATTATAAGAAATTACGTCCAATCAATGCACATAACCTTGAAAACTAGACCTTTTGTACATAGTACATTAGGATGACAGATGTATATGTAGATTTGAGTGTGGATGTTTCTCTTTTTTCATCGATTCCAACATTTGCACTCACCCATCCCTTCTCAAAGACAATAAAATAATCATCAAGTATTTTTCAAATTTAATTAAAGTTTTTAATTGTTTAAAGATATTTTAGTTGTATATGGTATACATAAGAAAAAATCTCATTTTTTTATTATTAGCTTTTGAGAAAAGAAATCGTACAATTCGTTTAATTTTAAATTCTTACCTGTGCACAAGTGAACTAATTGTGCCGTTAACTGCGGTAAACCGCCAGTTTGTTTTCTGTATTTGCGACATGAGAAAGTAGTTATTAAAATATATAACTGCTTGGGAATTATTTTAGTTTTCATAACAAAAAAAAAACATAAGAAATGAATAGAACAAGAATAAAGCGAAAAGACAAAATTAAGGTTTAGACAAGAAACATAAGTCTATAATTATTTCAAAAAGGTATTTCACGAGAAGCAATTTTAAAAAAATGTTGAGTTCTTTTTGTTCCCATGATTATTCTAACATTTGTTGTCGAAATGAATGCAAAATTATATAGATAGACTTATATAAAGAAGTTCGAAAACAAGATGAACATAACTTCAAGATGAAAAAGAGTCTTCAAATATTCAGATGAGTTTTCATTATCACTATTTGGATGGAATCTCTTTTGCATAACTATGATACTTTGAAGTAATATTACAATGAAATAGTTACACATAAATTTATATACACATACAAAAATAGTCCACTTTATGTTATCAACGGTGAAAACAGTAATTTGTCAAGCCTCACTAGTTGTGTGGTGTATCGTCACCGTTTGAAAGGACACTAGCATCATTTTGTTTTCGGATAGGGAGTATGGTTCTTTTGTTTCTTCCATAATTACAATTAATAGAATTTTGTTATATTTCGTCTCAAAACCTCAAATGCTGAACCATGAAGTGATAATTTGACCAATGACCAGTTAAAATAAGCACCAGACCATAGCTAATTGAAAATAAAAGTATTTGAAATAAGAAGAGAAATAATATTCAGTTTCTTCTTTGCTTTAAAATTCTTTTGACTTGATGCAAGTGAAGAAATGAAAGGAATGACATGAGTAGCGATGATAAATATCAGGTACAAAAACATAAATAAACCAAATAAACTTTCTGCTCCCTAATCTACAGAAAGAACAACAATAGAGACAGAATTTTCATGGATCTTTTATATTTATTTTTAATCTAATAAGATGTTTGTATCATATTATAATGCGGTTACTTTTGTCGCTTCCCCTTCCCGATTATGCTTTGCCGACATTTTTGTTTCGTTAACCAAAAGAATGTCTGTAACCAAGCTTCAATCAGGAACCAAAGCCGAGATACCAAGAAAAATGAGATCATTTTGGTGCTGCCAGTAGCTGATTTTGAAGGATGTCGTTAGAGAACGAAGGAATGAAATTATGACCAGTTCTCTTCTTCGTCCATTTGCTAATTAAATTGTCGCTACCAAAAAGTGAAAATGCGACGTGCATTTTTTCTCTTTTACGTTTCCGATTGAAGCAGTGAGAGAAAAAAAATCGAGCTTCTACATTATCTTGCACGGCGAAAATTGTTCAAAAAAGAGACGGGAAAGATGCAGGACACCTTTTCAAAGTATATTCTGACGGACTGCATTGATTTGACTTTGTTAATGTTCTTTTGTCATTTTGTCGTTGTTGCTATCCTTGATACAGAATGATCCATTAGAAAACTTTTCAACAAAAATCTCTGTTGTGCTTTAGTGATATGAACTATTTTTTCTGTTAAAAGTATAGATAGCTGATGTTGTTCTAAAGAATCCAACAAAGTTGTTTTTTGTGCACATATTTTATTAGAATTCAAATTTGTGAGAAATACACAAAACGATGAAAAGGAAAAATAATTGAGAATAATAGAGGAAACACACTAGTCGATAATGTTTAATATGATATTAATACTTGCTCAAAATGTTCGATCTTTTGTGTGGTTATGTGTGGATGCCGTTTTTCCTATAAAGAAACAAAAGTGGAATAATTCAGCACCATAAAGTACGCGAAATAATAATTTCAAAGAAGAATGTACAAATGGTTATATCAATGTTAACGACATTTTCTCGATCAGTTATCACTAAAACACTATTAGCACAATGTACCTGTCTTTTATTCCAGTAAGACTGACAGAAATAAATAAGAGCAATACCAAAAATAACAGTAAGAAAAACAGCAATAATAATACCAAAAATACGAGCACGATGTGCATGCGCAACAGGATCTTCACTAAGATCACGAGGAATATTATAAATAACACCACGAGCATTACAGCTGATCGCGAATAATGCCATCATAAGAATCAAATGAAGCACTGTTTTGATGTTGATCATTTTGCGACTGTTAATTGGAGACGAATCAGGATGGATTGACGAGTAATAGATGGAGTCATGAAAAAAACATTAATAGAAGACGGAGAAAATGTTGAAATATTTTATTTTGTATCGATTCCTGATCTCGGATCTATTCTCAAATTTTGGAAAATTGTTACCGAGATCAATGCACGGTTGTCAGAGTAGGTGATATGGGTGTGGGTGTTGATTTATTACTTAGTTACGCCCAAACTCCATCCATACTTACACATCCACACCCTTTTCGTCAGGTTCTATCTCAGAATCTTGTAAGGATCGTACAATAATCCTAACCAAACTCGACATATTTTGATCATAAGCTTTTATCAACTTTATAACAAATTCTATGTAAGATCTTATAGGATTTTAAATCATTTTTTGTCAAAGAAAAACTAACTGCAGAGTTCCAGAGTTCTTGGGAGTATTTTATGCTTTCTGTTTACAATTTAGCTTTACAAGTTCTATTTCGAATCTCTCTAGCATTTCTTTTTCTCGAAACTTCGATTGAGTGCATATGAAAGCACGCAGTTTATTTTAAGGACAGATGCTTGAGACAAATATCACATACAAATTCTAAGGAAAATAGATTTCCTCCGCACAGTCAGAGAGAACGCTTTCATTTAGAATATTCACTGTCTGATCTGAAAGTTTCTACTGAAACAAAGCGAAATTTAAGATAAAAAAAAAAGACATCAATCAAATTTCTTTCTCGTTCTGATCGGAGTCCTTCAACAGAAATGTTTTTTTTTCTAGCGGAACTTGTTCGATTTCAACGAGAGATGCATGAAACATTTCTTCATCAACAAGCAGTAATCAAAGGTAAATAAAAAAAGATTGATCAGGCTTCTTTTGCTTCTGAAATAAATGATTTTATACATGATTCAGTCGCACAATGGCTCGAATATTGATGTGTGTGTTAGTATTATTCTTCATTTCACCTATTCCAACATTTACACTTACACCCACCCTTGACTGTCCGAAGCTGTTTCTCATCACGAAACATTTTGATAGATCGCTTTAGGCTCTCTTCTTACGCATCCGCCTCAGGATCTAAGAATATGGTTTTTGATTTCCTAGTGGCACATAATTTTGCGCCGTCCAACACTGCTCATCCTGATCTAAGCACTGCTCGTTGAGTTCAGCATTTTTACAGAACGTCTTCGGAATTCTTGTGTAAATTTAAATATATTGCTATCATTCTCATGATTTTCTGAATCCCGTGAAATTTTTCGCTGACATCCTACTACAAGCTATGTGATTGTGGCTTCTGTGGTGTTACTATAATCCGTTTTTCTGAGAGCAGAGTTTTATTGCCCTACCTGCTAGTAATTTTTCTGTCATATGAAGCTTTCATCTCTGACCACGATAAACTGCTTTGGTATTTGAAGTTCTTTGGGGTAATTTATATGGATCGTTCAGTAGCCTTGAGACTTTCACTACCGCTCTGAAGATTCGTGGAAAAATCGAGATTTCTCACACGGACTTTGAAGTACAATTATCTCATTGAACCTTTTTAAGACTTAGTTTTACACATTGCTCGTGCTCAGAAGCTTTTCTTCGTTAGTGTCACATGTCGCTTTCTAACTGACAGATTTGGACTTTTATCTCTGCAGATCGCACTTCGAGCAGAAGCTCTACCACTGTTACTGTTACTCTTACTCTCATTCAAAGTCATAAATTATTTCCGTGTCCTTTTTATGCAGAGTCTCATTAAATTCATAGTTATATAACGATGATTTTGGTTGCATATATCTTTAATAACAGAAATAAATGAATAGAGTAGGAAAATAAATGAGGAAAACACATCATGTTACATATAAACAATATCAGAGAATTACAATGGGTGAGAAGCTCAAAGAAATATACAACAGCTGAGAAATAGTGAATAAACGCGATCGTTAACTGGCAGAAATCGACTAAGCCGATCATGGGAGCCATTATTATGTCTGTCTCAATTGTTTCCAGTTTCATCAGCATCTTAAAACTAAGTATATAACATTCAAAATATTTTCTTTTACTGTCAGAGTTTTCCTAATAACTTTGTTACCACTGATAAGTAATTGAAGCCAAAATGTTCAGGGTAATCTGAACAATCTACTGATGTTGATTTTACTTTTTCGCGTTATACGCAATTAGTTTTTTTTTCTTCGAATGGTTCGTTTCTTACTTTTGTAGCATAATCGCACCTTCTGCTCCGTTTCCGTTTGCTTTGCCTCCTTTTTATCGTTTCTTTTCATGTGTGCACTCTATTGAGACGAACTCTACAAACCAACAGTAAAGCATTCACGGGAAGAGTAGACGTAGAGTGATGGCAAAGAAGAAAAAAAAATCATACTTATTACAATAAATTCCTGTTTAATGCAGTAAACACATCGATGTTTATTTCTGTCGAATGTGATCTGGCTGGAAATCAGAAATAATTACCAGATTGTCCAAAATGGCTGAAAAAACTCCGGAGTTTCTTCGAGTTTCAAGTTATTTCCGATTATTTTCAAGTAGTCATGTTTAGCTAAACTCGAGTTTTGTTGAGTTTGACTATAATTTCCACATTCAATTTTTCTCGTAATGAATGCACCTTCGTTTTTCAAGTACCATCATTATACGCACGGTGCTTTGAGACTAATAACAGTACACGTTCTCGTGAATCGAAAGCTTTTCCAAACTAAACTGAACAGACTGCATTATTAAAAAGGTAGTTACTTAAACAAACAATGTCGCAAATATTCAAAGAGTTTGACGTTTACGAAGAAATTTATTCATATGGTAATTTTAACCTGTTAAGGTGCCCCCTCAAAAAGTCACTTTTCGTCAGTATCATCGAAATTAAGATAAATATAGGGAGAGATAGACCATGATTTGATCTCTCATGCACGCTCAAAACTTTTATTCAGCATTCCTTTCTTTTCAAAAATTTTTGAACATTTTCATCACCTCCTATTTGAAATATAAGCTATTTTTTCTCGGTTTATAGTTTTTTGATCGCGCATTCGACATTTTTGAAGGAACTTCATTGTAGTTAATAGCTTCTGCTTTGTCTGAAATATCATGTCGAGATGGAGGGCACGGCGAACTTCTTTTTTTTATCAAGCAGTATTTTTATTATATATGCAAACATCTGTATAATTAGAGCGCCATTTTTATAGTTTTTTTAAGTCATGGAACTTAGGATGCCTTTTTTGCGTTTAAAAAGTAAGTATTACGGGCAAAAGACTCGATCATGCCTTGCTTCGTGACATGCTCTTTCAGATAAAAAACTTAAATATATCGAGTAAGCCCGGAGAGAGAAATTTGGGATGCCAAATCAGCTATTTTTGACTTCTGTTTGGTGAATATATCTGTCAAATTTTATAGAATCAAACTGAAAATTTTACCACAGCTCCTTCGTTATAGCCCCTTCATTTCCTTAGAGTTTCATGCGATTTAAACGTACTTGGATTGAGACCGATTTTTGAGGGAACCTAAAGAAAAATAACAATCAAAGAGACACTCACAATCATACTCACATCCTTAATCTTTAGATAACGCAGCAATTAATAGTGATCTTTGTCAATAATATATAATTTAACAGATACGTGTATGAGTGAAATCTAACAATACAAAAAAGCAACTATGCTGATTGGATAAAATGAGTGAATATTTTAATGAGTAATGATTCTGTTCATGTTCAGTCAATATGCATATTTCATCGTTCATACTATCATATAAAGATTGACGAACACTACAAATGCCCAACATCATTTGCTAAAACTAGACAACAATCCAATTGTCTTTGTATTCTATAACAAATGAATCATCGAAGTACAAGTAACTATAATCGACTAGCCACTGATACAAATTCTTACTAATTTCGTTTCATAAAAAGCTGTTTATAAATAGTGAGAAAAGTCTTTTGTTTCTTTATTTTTCAAATACTTTTTTTACAAGAAAATCGATAGATATTTTTGAATCTTGTACCAATAATACCAAGTGACGAAGTCTACTGAATATTCGAGTGATGACGTCGAGTTGAATCGAATCAATATCTACTATGTGATAAATATGCAAATAGCTAATTTGCTTTTCGAATAATTGACAAGCATATTCGTCTGTTACTAAGACGTCGAAACATTGAAAATCAACGATCAAATCAGAGAGATGGTGGGCTGTATTAGCCGAGCAAAATAACGGGTATTTCCAGCGATTTCAAGTTGTTTTAGTCAACGTAAATGTAATACAATTGGTTGATTTAATTGTATTGCAGTAGCTAGTTGAAGAAAGCAATGGACGTCAATCGACTGAACAAACAAGAATCGAAATTTGAGATTCATTTAAAAAAAATTCAAAAAAAGGAAGAAAAACAGTTCGATGAAGTCTCCAAAGAGTTTTTTTTGAATGAAAAATGGGCGTGATCTATCGACAAGACTAAAAGTTGAAAATTTCATTGAAAATAAAGTTTCAAGTAGTTTTTAAAGCACTTATTATTGAAGATGGTATCATGAAGTTTGTAAAAAATAGAATTTAGCTTTAAGTTTAAATGATATTTCCATCAAACTACAACCAACTATTAATACGTTCAACAATGATGATTTTGAGCTTTTGATAGAGTATATGTTTTTTTGCTTGGGTATTCTATTCACCAATATTCACACCATTATATTCGTTGTAGTAGAAAGGAAAGGAACTCGAGTTTTTTCTAAATCTAGATTCTTCAAAATCTATAGAAAACAATATACTTATGAGCAACTTCAAAAGAAAGATCTGTGCCAACACTAATTCGACTTATTCTTAGCTACCTCGTCGTACATTTCTTTTTCGTATTGAAATTGCTATTTAAATAGTTCCTATCGCGAGAAGTTACGTACGTGCTTCTGAATCCCAGTCTGCGTCAATCTTGAGCGTATGAAGTTGACAACAATATTGTACGATCATTGATATATCCGTAAAATATGCTTTTCCGTAAGTTATTAGATGTCTAGGTTTCTTCGTATAGTTCGAACCAGTTAACATTTGTTTACTTATTTTCGCTGGAATGGAAATAGAAAACAAATGACAAGGAATCGTATGGATAATAGCACATTGATGATACTCACTCAGTAGGTATGCTATTGGAACATGTCCAGACCATGGGACAAGCCAATTGTCTGACTGAATATAGGATTCCAAAAGGAAATAAACAATGAACAGATTTAGATTCACAAGCGATGCAAGTAGAATAGAGACAAGATTGTACCCATTAACAAGATGTGCATCTTTTGTACATAAATGAAGTGCTAACTTCTGCAAAGATGGCGTTTTAGTCAATTGTATTTCAATAAGTTGATTGTTAATTCTTCAACATTCAGATACGAAATAGGTTGATCATGTTGAGCTTCAGTTAGATCCAGATCAATGAAGTGTTGATCGAATGATATCGATTGTTGTTGACCATCATTGGTAGCTAGAACTTTTCTCAATAATTCTTTCAAATGTTTACCTTCAAAAGAACGAATATCAAGTTTGACTAATTGCACAAGATTTTTGTTTGTATCAGGGAATGTGAATAGGTGTTCATTAGTGAAATATATAAGTATCCATGTATGCAATTGTGTAAATACTACCGATAGATCGGAACTGAAGAGTATCGAACGTATTTGTTTCGACATAGTAGTTTGCCAAAACCCATTGAAAACGAGTAATCGAATAGATGAACCGATTTCAGGTAAAACCTTCAATGCAATGCATTGAAATTGTTTATATTGTACACCAATCATATTCATATGATGACAAAGATCGCTTATGGCCATATTAAGGCGAGTATTCAGATTGTAAAAACAAGAGAGAACATCACCACAACTAAGATATTGGCATACGTGCAAATAAGTTCATTTTGTAAGATTTCAAAAGTTGTAAGTTCAGTCATCTTTGTACACTAATGAACAATTTTTCAGAATTAATAAAATGTTTAATTCGATAACTTGAATATGATATCAATATAGAGTCCTATTCATACAATATCATTAAAATAATATTCGTGTTGCCATGAAGAAACAGAAATGGTGATGCTTGTACAAGAAACGTGACAGTTATTTTCTATATTACTCTTTTTTTCTTACCTCTTCTCATTGAAAAGAATAACGTTAAGAAACAGATAAAATGTGAATGACTCCGATAAAATACTTCTTTTTTTTGTACCATTCACACCATTTCCCACTTCACTGCTATGGCGTGTGCTCAAGATCTATCACAAGTTTTATAAAAATGATGTTGTTGCATAAAAGGGTGTCATTGCGAATGTGAATAATGTGGGTGTGAATGGAGTATGATGTGTGGATGGCAAGGGAGGATCTATGCCCAAACCTCACGTCAACATCTAGACCCACTCACACTCGCCAATGTTTGACATCATTTTCGTTGAGGAAACTCTGAATTTTACATTCAAACTCTTGCATAAAAATTTTAGCGAAAAGAGAATTAAGTGATGCATCCATGCTAATCCCGTCGATTTGATCATATAATTTCCTATTAAACATGAAGTGCGTGTTTTTTGTGATGAAAATGAATATTTTTTGAAAGTCTATTCACTCCATTGTTAGTACCACTCTTATCTTCGTCTCATAAAGATGTTTCAGGATGATGTCAATCGTTTCCTCTAGGTCAACACTAGTGTATAAAATCGTCACGTCGCGGAAGATTATTTTTGTTGATGATGATAGTTGACCTTTGCCTTTTAAATCATATACGAATGAAAAAGAATCTTTCACTATTGCTTCATCACAGCGAAGAGGTGTAAGCATCTTCGTCAGGGTCTTTTCGAAATCATAGTTATATGTATTGATTGCCGGTTCAGAGAACCTTCCTTTTGTATATGTTTGGGAGCTTGGAGTACATTTGACCTGCTTAGCCAAGCTTTACTATCGAATTCATTATCGATGTGTCCTTGGTTTGGGACTTGTCAAAGTAAAAACTCAAATCATTCTCTGGACTGATAGATACATTTGTGCTTACGAGGGGACATTTCCATAGTGCACATTCGCTTTTGAGTCGAGACCATGCGCATCTTGTAGACCTGGATAAGTTATGACTATGATAAAAAAAAGTTCGTGCCCATGACCTGTTTCTGAAGAGATCGAACGTAATTAATTTTATAGCTGGGTATTCCCAGGAACTTTCAACCACATTATATAAAAGTCATCTCTAATTTCGACGAAACTTTCAGCGTTTGCAGAGCTTTTAATTCTGACCATTTTAATAGAAAAACTTTTTCGAAAAGCTTTTATTTTAAGGAAGATACACTCAAAATACTGTAATCAGTAAAACTCAAAAAAAAACGCGGGAAAAAATTGTCTTCAGGGTTGTTAAAGCTTTTCGAAAAAGTTTTTCTATTATAATGGTCAGAATTAAAAGCTCTACAAACGCTGAAAGTCTCATCGAAATTAGAGATGACTTTTATACAACGTGGTTGAAAGTTCTTGGGAATATCCAGCTATAAAATTAATTAGGTTCGATCTCTACAGAAACAGGTGATAGGCACGAACTTTTTTTTATCATAGTCATAACTTATCAAGGTCTACAAGATACGCATAGTCTCGACTCAAAAGTGAATGTGCACTATAGGAATGTTCCCGCATTGGATTAATTAGCTTGCATGCTAAAAAATGGTTCACATGTACTTCTTTAGTGAAAGGATCAAATCCACGAATACTTTGTCGCTCCTTTCCCCAGTAACTGCTAAGAGATCAATCAGTCCTTGTATACTCTAGCAAAAATATTGATACAAACTAGTAAAACTGATTTATTTTATTACTCAATTTTTAAAATTACTTTGCAATTTATTTGCGTCATGCAGTGAATTAGTTACGATCAAGTTTCTCTAGAATAAATATTCCCTTGATAAACTTGTTTCACAATCATGCGATCATGAAAACAAATTTATTAAGCTTGTGAGAATTCAAGTATCACTGCGTAAAGAAGTAAAAATAAGATTAGGTAAGCAAATAAGCATAATCAATCAAGCACAATCGATGGAATAACAAACTCTTATCTTTTTCGGAGATTTTTTTAATCTATTCTTAATGTAATAGTCTTATTATAAGTTAATCGAATAATTGTTGATAAGCTCTTTTATGCATATTGGTTGAATAATTGTTTAAAAAAAATTCCTCAATATGATCTATAAGTTGTATATTCATGTTATTCAGTAAAATTTAAAACCAATACCAATATGAACTAGAATTAGACATTTAATAATATTCGTGTTATTGTGAGTATGAAGTCTTATCATTCTTCCGTTTTTTAATGAGATGAGTAAAGGATCTTTTTTTTTTATGTCATGTGACATTTTAAGACGATTTTTTTTTCTTCCTTATCTTTTACGTCGTTTTACAGAAAAAAATCTCTTGAATACATGAGAGAGAGTTTCGAAAGTATAACACATCGTTAGCAACAGTGTGTGTTTCGTAGATATGATGCACGTTCACCTTTGGTCTTTTCTTTTTTCATATCAAATTGTTGTCTTAGGATATCATACTCACGTAACGAATAGACAGAAACAAAATTATTATGGCGAAACATCCAAAGACGCAAGACAGGTATTTAAGTTTTACATAGATGTAAAAAATAGATTTTAATCAGTGAAGAAAAAAAATTTGATTAATATATTAGATACCGACAAAGTTCATCAAACAGAATATCGGTTTCTTCGAACAAAGAGACTCAAGCTGAACTACCAAAACAAGCTCTGCAACGAAAACGATTTTGCACTGGTGAATAAAGAAAAAAAATATTGTTGAATTTATCTTAAAAAGATATATGTATTTAGATATTCCATGTTGTCTTCTGTTTCTTATATTTATCATTTGTTTTGTTGTCTTGAGTGTTTTTGCTTTCAAAGAAGGTATTTATTTATGTCAATTTTCTATGAGTGTTTCTATGAAATGTATAGGTGATCCAAGACAACTATTACACCCAACTGATAGTGAAGGTAATATTTGTGGTGCAGGAGAGTATACCAATCGACCATATGCTTATTTCTTTGATTGGACGAAATGTATAAAATCACTTAATGTGCCAGCTAATATTTTACAAGGTCGTCCATTTGTTTGTCCTACCAAACAAGTTTGTGTTGAAAAATGTCCAAACAAAACATCTTATTATAAATTTGGAGATTATAATATGAATAGAATTTGTACATATGATGTAACTGAAAGTGACAATAATAATGAAGAATTAGTTAGAGATGGAAAATGTGCATCATATATAATAGCTAGTAAACCATTGTTTGGTCGATGTGTTCCACAACAAATAGAAAGTTTAGCTAATTCTATAATTCAGGTTAGGATCAAAATATTTGATAGATAAATATAAAAGAATATCTTGTTTTAGGCACCAGATGGTAATGAAGCCAATGCTACTGTATATGATTCAAATGGACAACCATTAAATGGATCGAAACTCGAACAGGTTAATTTTTCTTGAAAAGATTATTTTGAACTCAATTGAATTTGTCTAGGGTGTTAAATATCTTGTTGAATTACTTAATTTAAAACAAATAGCCGTCATGCTTGTTGAAGACTTAGCAACATCGTGGAAATATATATTGTTGGCTTTCGGTTTATCTGTAGTCGTATCGGTATGATAAGAAAAAAAAAATATGAAAAGTCGACAAAAAAAATTTGAAAAATTTTTTAGTTTTTATGGATTGTATTAATGCGTTGGTTAGCAAAACCACTTGTTTGGTTTGGTATAATAGGATTTATTGTTCTATTAGGTGTTATAACTGGTTTAGCATTTTTTGAATTTATTCAACTTCGTGCAAACAATGATAATCAAATAATAAAAGAGTTTAAATTTGTTGCTGATGCTAATTATTATCGAAGTTTACCAATAACATGGTTAATTATTGGAATTTTATCCGGTATTCTTTTACTCATAGCAGCTCTTATTGTTCTTGTTTTATTTAAACGTCTTCAAATAGCATTAACTATTCTTCAAGAAGCATCAAAAGCTGTTGCATATAACTTTTTTAGTCTTTTCTGGCCATTTATACCATTAATATTACATATTGGAATATTTGCTTATTGGGTAGCTATCACTATGTATTTAGCAACGGCAGGAAAACCAATTTATCGAATAGCAGGTAATCAATCAGATGTAGATCCAGCAGATCTAACAATTGGTCAAATATGTAATCCACAAAAATGGAATAATAGTGCTGGAATGAATGTTGAATGTATTTTTTCGGAGTATGGATATGATCCACAAGTTGATTTGGATAGTGTTCTTAATGGTATGATCAATTTTATTATTGTCAAAAATAATATTTTTTTTTGTTGTTGTTCTATTTAAGGTACTGGTAAACATTTTAAATCTTTTATTAGTTTTGTCAATAAAAATCAATGGCTTCCACAAGTATTCTCTGCTTTCATGTTTTTTTGGTTAACAGCTTTCATAATTGGCTTAAGTGAATTAGTTCTTGGTAAGTTTTTTTTGTATGGAATTCGTTTTTAAAAATAAAATTTATATAAAAATTTTAGCTGGTGTCTATGTACGTTATTATTGGGATAAACAACGATTTGGTGTTCCATGTTTATCATTAGGTCAATCTTTATTTCGTGCAATTGTATTTCATCTCGGTACAATTGCATTTGGTTCATTAATAATAGCCATTGTTAAATTAATCCGTGCATTATTAGAATACGTTGAAAATAAAGTTAAAGATAAAACAGGAAAATTTGCTCGTTGTCTATTTTGTTGTTGTCGTTGTTGTTTATTTTGCTTGGAAAAATTCTTAAAATTTCTTAATCGAAATGCTTATATTATAACAGCAATATATGGATCAGGTTTTTTTACATCAGCACGTCGAGCATTTAAAATAATTATTTCAAACCCAATTCGTTTACTTGTTATTGATAAAGTATGTGATTTTCTTATATTTCTTGGTAAATTATGTATAACAGCTGGTATTGGTATTCTTGCTTTCTTCTTTTTTACTCATCGAATAGCACAAGCTGAAAACTATGTACCTGAATTAAATTATTATCTTATACCATTATTGTTAATTATTATTGGTACTTATGTTATTGCAAAATGTTTTTTTTCAGTTTATTCAATGGCGGTTGATACCATAATGCTTTGTGCATTAGAAGATCTAAGAATGAAAAAAAAGAATAAAAGTCATCGGTTGATGATGTCCGACAACTTGCAAGACGTATTTCGAGTTAAAAAAAATCACTAATATTTTGTTCTCTATTGTCACGTATAGGATTTTAATCAATAAAGAAAAAGAAATGTATGCTGCGCTAGTTTTTTTCTAATTTTTTTTTCATAAGATGTGCAATCTTTAATTAATAAAATTCTTTTATATTTTTTCTTCTAAAATATTGTAATGAATGTTCTGTATTGATCTATGTATTTCATTGTCTCTCCTAGTTATAATATTGATCATGAATAAAAAACAGCTTATGATCAAATCATCATTTCATTGTCTGTTGATTGATAGTAATAAAAGGCGTTCCAAAATATACCCACATTCTTTCCAATTATTTTCTAATGAACCAGTATTTATTCCACAATAATTTTATCAAGACTAAATGCCGTAATAGACAAATGATTCTTTTGAAACCATCTGATTCATTCGATGCTGGTTTTCCCCTTATACATGGTTTGTATGAACATTTAAAATACTAGTAAATGAATGATCAGAGTGTAGGTGTGGTGTGAATCTAAGCGTGGGTGGGTGGGTGTGAGTGTAGGTGTTAGCGTTGATGTGCGCAATACAGTGGATTAACTTAACCCACATCCACACCCACACCCGTACGTGCGTGGTTGTTCAACCGATTCAAAGTCCATAGTTCTATTTACACAGACAGACACATTTCAAATGGATACTCATACTCCAGACCCAAAAGAAACATGGTTTGATGGATCAAGAAAGAAGTTTCTCATATTTGATATTAAACTTTCATTTTGCGTTTAGAAAAATATTGTCTAATATTCTTTTCTTGAAATCATCGTGCCAGTATGTCTTCTGTTCCATGTTTTCTGAAAAGTTAATTAGCTTATACACAGAAGTATTATGAGCCAACAGCATATATCGATAATATAACTGCGTTTTAATTATGATTCTATTGAGCATACAATTAGATAGAAATAAAAATTCTATTATATAGTTTCACTTTAAATAAACTCAAATAAAACAACTACCAATTGAAAATCAATTTCATACAAAAGAAACAAGGGATGTCTATTCTACTCATAGGAGTCAATAAAAAAAACGATAAAAGAATCGAAAATAGGATTTTGCCCTTTTTTTTGCTTTTCTTTGCTTGCACAATGCAGTGCAACAAGCATCGATATTTGTTTATCCTTATAATAACGCATGCGGACAAAAAAATGCAGAACAAAAAAATGTCAACGGCGTCGTGAAATACTCATTTTTCAGCTTCTTTTTAATGCGTATTTTTTTTATATCGTTGCATCTCTAATAAGCCGGCTCATGGTCTGCAATCTTTTTCTTATGGGATTAAATCAATAGTGGTGAAGAAAACTTTTTGTTTAGAAAAAATTATTTTTCACGTTCTTCACAGGGAATTTTTCTTGGAGGAAGTGATGAATCTTTCGAACACCTTCCTGCTGCGGAGCCTCTTTCTATAAGAACCAATACTGTCAAGATTCATTTACATTGCTTCTCTATGATTGTGTAGCATCGAGTTTTTTTATTGGCAAGAACCGTTTCATAATCGCTGTCTACTGATCTATTGTTAATCGATAACCATAGCGTCAGATGACATCTAAAAACAGACTGAAACCTATCTTTCTTGACTATTCTTCATTTTTTTATTTCTTTGTTTCCTACATATTAGTATCGACATTTTTTTTGAAGAGTCATTATCATAGAATACTGGCAGTTATTTTTGAATAATGTCGATTGATTTCTTTCAGGTGTGTCGATCATTTATCTTCAATTATTGATTAAACAATAGTCATAACTGGGTTCTATTATTGAATCAATATGATTCGACCGTCTTTTTTTTGTGTTCTGTCACTTATTTTGTTCGTTGTTTTCAATGTAAAACGATCTTGGTGTGTTCCATCGAATACTCAGCAAAATGTCAATCTTACTGATCAATGGTCGCAATTCAAGAAATTTTTCTCGATTGTTAACAAAAGTGAAGGTGCTGGTAAGTATTCTAATGCCAAATTTTCAAGTCGTAACAGACGAGAGACGAGAATAATTCGATATGAAATACATTGATTCTTCAGATAAGAAGAAGTAAAATATCAAATACGTAATTCATTAACATCCAATTTCTTTTGATGAATATGCTTGTTGAATTCTATGCATCGCGAAAAGTGACATTTACCCGCATACCAAAGGTCGGAAATTTCGAAATACTGTTCAATTGTGTTCCACATTTTAATTCATTAGGAATAATGCTTATGCGTTTTTTTTCCCATTATTTCGTCTACTTATAAAACACATCATTTGTTTGAAAAGGAGAACATAATGCATACTAATTCATTTGTTGAGACATTTGTTGAGTCATTTATTTATTTATTTATTTATTCAATACGATAATCAAGAACGATATTCATATATTTTAGTTAATCAATTTCAATGTCCGAGAAACTGGCAAAGATTCAGTCATTCGTGTTACTATCTGTCCAATGTGACGTCAACGTTTGTAGATGCCAATCATACATGTAGTCGTCTTCATTTAAATGCACGACTGATGCTCATTCGACATCCTACGGAACTTTTCTATGCTGTGCATATACTCAAGGTCAATCGTCTTGAAACATTAATGATTGAAATCGATCCACACTTACTTCAAGGTAGGTCTGATCATGCTTAATAAAGCAGAATTATTGATCAATACTTTTGGAAAATCGTTTTTCACGTATGATGCAAAAGTAATGGGGCAAATGTCGGATACCATTATTCGTCAATAGAAAGCTACTAAAATGAAAGCTCTTTTACTAAGAGATAGTATGCGCCCATAAAAAGATTCCGCATTTTCCTATAAAAGGACCGTCAAAAATGTTACTCTTTTTTGTTGCGTCGTTTCATTAATAAACGTGTGACATAAATAAATTATATAAAATTTGAAAAAGAGGACAAAGTTCTATATTTTGATAAAACATTTTTTTTCAATAGCTTTCAATCGAAGAGACACAGGATTCGACATTTCTTCCATCACTTTTGTATCGTACACTATTATAATCTTATACAACTATGTTTGCTATTAGGTGCACAGATTACTCAGATGCTATCAAATGATGATTACGTTCGATGGCAAAACACCGAGAAAAAGATTCGTCAAGCTCTTGTTCAATATAGAACATCGAAAACTTCATTATCTGAGTACTCACTAAATGAAGGTGTACCTGATGATGACAATCGAATGAAAGGTATTGTTGATGACCAGATGAAAGAACTATCTACGAATCGAGCTAGAAAAGAATTGAATAATGGTCAAGAAGATGATGTTAGCTTGGAAAATCTTGATCAAGTTCTTAGTATTTGTCATGAAGTACAGTTGAACGTCGTCGGCAATGAGTCAAACATCTTCGAACTTAGTACTTACTTGAATTCGGGCAAAACTATCTGTTCACTAAACAATATTGTACCTACAATGGCCTACTCATATCTATGTCAACATGGTAGGTAATCACTTGTTTCAAATTGAACAAATTTAAACGATTCTATTTTTTTTTTACTCAATCTAGCACTCAATATTTGTCTTGGTAATGTCTTGTGTGGCAAGCATGCACAGTGTCTTAACGATCTAACAGGGTTTAAATGTATATGCTCGTTTTTCTATGACGGTGAATTTTGCGACAAATGTAAGCGACGTTTTAACTTCATTCAAGATTCGAATTTTGTATTGATCGGTCTGTTTTAGATTCAAGCAAAGGCATACAGATTTTGATTGCTATTCCGATTATCATAATCGTCTGTTTATTGACGAGTTCTTGCATAAGAAACTCTATTTTGTCTGTCGTTAGATGGCTTATCAAGTGAGTTTTTGAATTGTTCTCATTCTTATTATTATTCATTGTATTTTTTTTTTAGTTGTTGTAAACGACAATCGATAAAATCACAGAAGTCTCAAGGCAACGCAGATATTGGCAATGAACCAACCGAAACAATAGGAATGGCTGAACAGTGCGTTGAAGGTTTCCTTTTTTTGACCCAAGAATAGAACCCTGACAGAATGAAATCAACATTAGCCGATGAGTTGTGTAAAGAAATTTCCAGATTTGATCCCAAATCAGAAATGCAATGAGTGAATTCAACAAAAACAAATGAGGTCCTATCAGTCGAAAACTATCAAGCTTGCTTCTTATCTATAATGAGGTCATCATCTATCATAGTTATGTCTGTCTTTTTTTTTATATCGTTAGTATGCTTCACTACTGCTCTGCCTGCAGCCGTGTTTCATCTTCGAAGAAAAAAATTTCGTCCCTCGACTGAGGTTTCCATATACTGTACCATCGAGATTATTATTATGTTTTAATGTTTACTTTTCAATATTTTCTCTTCGAGCTCTTGTATTTTTTTCGAAATTCTGCCATGTGACTTTGTTTTTTCATTTAATTAAAAAGGTAAGACAACTTGCTGTAGAGATCTTCCACAACAGTTTTAAAGATTTCAAATATACTATCATTTAATAAGAATTTACTATTTAGGCGTCCAGCAGAGAATTTAGACGAACAAGCTTCTGTCAAGGTCAAGTTATGGGATTTATTGAAAACACCGTCATTCATTCGTTTATCTTCGGTGGCAATCTTAACTTGCATCTTTTTCTTGATTCTCTCTGTTATTCCGCTAATTCGTCACGTGAGAAAATTTCTATCTCCCAATAATCATTCATTTCAAATTGACTTACTTATCGATTATAACATCCGTATGACAACGCAATGTGGAAACAAAACTACTTTACATATGGCTAATTTCGTCTACTTACTCATCTCAGTCGTACTCATAATTATCTTCACGTTTTGTAACAAAGAAAAAACACGAAATCGAAAGGGTTACTGCAGTCGTTTTGGTATTGTCTCTTTGCTTTTTTTTATTGTCTATTTGTTCGGAAGATCAAGAGTTTTTCTTCTAGGTCTATTACCGCCGATGAGACCGTTTCTCATTACTGATCGATATACGACAGCGGCGATAACTGGCATTCAAACGATGGAAATACTAAAAACTCTAGAAGAAATTCTAATCGATATTAA